TGTTCGTTCCGGCTGGTGCGAAAAATGTTTTTTGTATGGGGCACGGGGGTTAGGCTATGAAGCAACCTGTTTTGCAAAAGTTGAGCGCAATCTTTTTTCCCATGCTGTCACGCTCCGGGCGCTGCAGCGGCCAATACCTGGCATGAGAATGAATAAGAAAGTTGACAAAAAGGCAATGCATGCGCAGCAAAGAAGAACAAACTTCAGCACGCCATGTTTACCCCGCACACATCTGACAGTCAATCCTGAGATGAGGCTGCTGTTGAAATGCGCATGCCCATGCGTCGCCTCATGTTTTGTATTTCTGGAGCCTCACCTCGCTCGGACCTGGAGATGCTTACCCCCTTGAAGATTCTTTGAACAAGTGACACGCAAGTGCCGTACAAGTTTGGCCACATCGCTTGTGCGATGCAACTGAAAATCAAAGGACGACTTCTTGGCACCTGTCGTGCCGAACCTCCACTTGCTGCCTTCAAGCTCGATGAGCTTTTCGAACAGGTGGATGAAGGAGGTGTGTTTTTGTTGGAACATCGGACTTGGAAAAAGAATCAAGTCCTTTTTTAAAGCGACTTCATGTTCTGTACATCGTCGTGCCAGCGTCGTCGTCAAGTTCCCCATCTCAAGCTGCCAATTGGCACTTGAAATTGTTCGTAACCCCAGGGCGAAGCCCGCCACCAAAATCTTCAATCGTTCCGGCGACCTCAATGTTGCAGCATGTCATGGTTTTAAAGTGTTATATTTTATATAGTTCATCAGCAACAATACAAAATACAAATCCTAATCGATCAGCTGAAGCACCCTTCGTGGCTGATGTCGGCTTCATTGTCAACAATCATCAAGTTTGCTTGTCGGACCGCTTGCACAGCTGAAGAAGCAGACCATGTCTCTTGTCGGAGAATCTTGCAGCGAGCAGGCGGCTGCTCCACAGGCAAGTCGCACCTCGGCTTAGAAACGCAACATTGGGCTTGCGAAACCAAACTACTTACACAACGGGCAGCGGCATAGCTGCAGCACGGGCACACATCCAACGCGGTAACTCGGCGAAATCTTTCTGTGCTTGCCTCGGGCCCTTGAACGAAAGTGTTACCCAGCCTCACATCTCCTGACGATGTTGATCGCATAAAAGCTCTAACTTCGCAGACCCGGGATTTATTAACTACTACATCACAAAAGTATTAACCTGTGATCTTTGCAAAGACTGTCCTACTGGATAGGGGTTCTGCCGTTGCAGCCTCCTGTTTCGCGATTGCTCGTGCTTCTCGAAAGTGGTCTGGGATGCCTTCTTGAACCGCTGCATGGCCTCGCTCCTTTGGAAAGCAGGCAATCGTTCCACGGGCGTGTTTGTAGCAATTGCCATTCGTTTGCGCGTTGTGCCACAGATGCCCGTGTCAGCCGACGCCGGCTGCTCTTCGAAGCAAAGCCGCTTTCGGGCCCTCCGTTGCGCCGCAATCAAGGAACATTCGGACCCTGGCCGATGCCCCTGTTGCTGTCCTGCGTCGCACCGCTTTTTGTACACATGAAATCTTCTGCCGTGCAGTTCCAACCAAAGCTCACCCACTCGACGACTGAAATCGGTGAAGAGAAGCTGCGGCTTGGCCTCTTGCGTCAAAGCAACCTGTGACAGTCTTTGGCTTGTGAATTTAATTAAAAGTCTAGAATGAAGCTACTAAAGTTGAAATTGGTCTTTGTGCTTAATAACCGTGGGCATCCGAACCCAAAAGACCGCGGACACAAGGCCTTGATTTTTTTCGAAATCTGGAGGTCCAAGTTGGGCGAGGACACCTTGGAGAACAGGTCCTCCTCAGAGCTCGGCCCGAATAGCATAATTTCGAGCGACGTTTCAAGATCCTTTGAGTCTTGAGGGGTCGCGCCATGGCTGTCCAGCAGACGTCGGACACGTGACAAATTGCGCTCCAGCTCGCACGAGCTTGCTTCCAGTGCCAAGTAAAAGCGCACGAAGTCGTGTAAGACGGTAAAGTTTGGAAACAAGACAAAGACCTCGGTCCAAGCTGCGCGGTTGTCCGGCACTTTCTTGGAGCTGCTTTCAAGTGGTCTGTCGCTGCCACTTTGCAAGTGTTTCGCACACAGTGCTTGCCTGAGTCAGCGTGAGTATTACCGGCTCTTCAAAGGGGTCAACCCTGAATTCTCAATATTTAATAAACAATCGCTTGCAGCCGCCATGTAAGCCTTATGTAAGCCTTACAGTGGCAAAAGCTGGGGCCGCGACACAGCATCTTGGTATTGTTGAGCACCTCGGTCCCGTCGAACACGATCGAAGCCCAACTCCTGCAACCACAAACGCACGAATCGGACCAAAGCCATTCTGCTCGCTTCATCGCCTCGTTGCCACTGCTGCAGGTCGAACACTCGCAACTGCATGCGGGGATCGTTCTGAGGAATCTCCGAGATCAGTCGGTCCAAGAAGGCTTGCGTGGCAGCTTGGGCTCCCTCCATGGCTTCCTCCACCTCTTTCTTTGCAAGACTGCCACTGGCCACCCGACGAGGCCACAAGCTATAGACCTTGCCATCGACATGAAGAGTTGGGCAGGACATCGCGTTTCGAGCTGCGAGCACAGCACCTTGGGACTTCAAGCCGGAACAAGTATCAAAACAATAATAATGTCTCCAAGTTCAATTAAAACACGTCCTGCGAAACAACTTAGCAGTCAGTTGAACAAAGAGCAGGCCCTTAGTAGGGTGTTAGGTGTCAAGAGTTGCGAAAACGGCTTTGCAGACTTCATCTGAGGAGGCGCATGTCTGCATCTCGTCCTCAACATCGGGCAGCTCTTGTAAAACTCGGGCCTCCAAGAAAAGACCTCGCATCCTCTTGGAAAATTCGTCAATCCAGCGGAACATGCACGAGATATCGAAATCAGCCTCGAACCTGCGAAGGAAGTCAAGTGACTCTGCCCCATAATCTGCGCCCAACGCAATGGCCATGATGGACCCAGGCCGCAAGCCGGACAGAATCTGATGACAGCGATCTCGCGTTGGTTTGTCATTTCTTCGGTCCTGCGCAGTCATTGCGAGCGTTAGGGCCACGGGCTGCAGCATGTAGGTGAAGCGACCTCGCGTCCAGTTATTAATTATCTCGTAATCCAACGCCAATTCAATGTCTGGCATGCTGTCGCTGCTGCATTGTTATTATTATTATGTGCTACGAAGCGACGTTGCGGCACGGTTGCGCTCTCCCACCTTTGTGGGGCCCAGCTGAATTGCTGGATGTTGCCGCGCACAACACCTCCCAG